AACTTACACTGAAAAGAATAATGTTGCATTGATCATCTGATTGTTATCTAAGCCCAATTTGCATCAACCATAACTTCAGCATCAGCTTTTGATCCACAGTAATTGTTGTAACACCCTAATGATTGGATCAAAGCAGATATTTCCAGGCTTATTTGAAAGGGTTCTAATAAAATAGAATGGGATTTGTTTGTATCTATATATTACGTGGTGGTGGTCTTTTTAAATACTTTTCCCTGACAAACTCTACAGTTTCAAAATGGTTCAGGTAATCCTGGAGAGTTGCTAATGTCAGGAATTAAGCCAGTGATGTTCGTTCTTCTAAATATGCCACAGGCTTTTATGTGTAGCTGCACTACAGCTCTAAAGTCTCCTCATCTCTTTCTCACCTCTTGACGTTTAAAGTTGTATACATTTGCTTACTTGTGAGGATCTTAGATTTTTTTTTCCTTCCACCCATATCTGTAGCTCTTCCTCTTTTTTTTTTTTTAATTTTTTAAGTTGACTATTTAACACTTTAGCAGCCTATGTCCCACTTGCTTTTCTCATTCTCTTTAGCTTTTTTCCTTCCTTTTAAGGAGAAAAAAAAAATCTCCTTTACATGCTTGAAAACTCTATTGAAATGGTAATTGGCCTTTTAAGACTGAAAAGTATTCTGTGTTTTCTATTTGAGACCAGCTGTTGTTTGATACAGATGTCCAAAAAGACAGATATGCCTCCCTTACCTGATACCTTCATTCTTGTTATGTTCATTAACCTACTAGTTATATTAGATAAGTCACATTTATAAATTGCAACGTGGATATATCATTAATTACCTCCTCTGAACAATGTAAGTAGTCTTCATATTGCTTCAACTTCCTTTTAACTTCACTTAATTTTTCAAATGTATCATTGGTAACAGGTCCTTTTGTAACATCCTAAGTAGCCATCATGGTTTCTGCTGTCTGTGCTCCAGTTTTCTAATGATTTTTTTCTAAAAGGACTGTATTTCATCCCTTTTCTTCTGAGTTCCCCTACTGCTTTTCACACTGCTGAGCATGTCCTCAGTCTTGAAAGTCAAGGAAGAGGGATACACGTAATTTTGTTCCTTTGTTACTTCTCTTTTATCATCTCTGCCTCTCCCCCACCCCTCTCTCCCAGAAACCTATCCCTGACCCTTTGTTCCTGTCTTCCTACTCTCACAGATCTATTTTTTTCAAATTTATCTCTCCATATCTGGCCTCTCTTTAGCTTGACAAAATCTTCCAAATATATTTCCATGACCTAAAAGCTCGTGGCCTTTTATGAGTGTTCCTATTTCTTTATCTTCCTGATATTTCTTTCTTTCAAGTACCTCCATGTTCAAGGGTTTCCTAAGTTTCCAGTAGTCTCCACAACAATATACCCATACCCAAAGGACACTTTTTTATTAAAAAAAATAAAGTGATTTTAAATCTTCTCTAAATCGTCTCTTTAGTTAGATTAGGATCTACCCTTAGTCATTTACTGGCTTCAAAATTTAAAAGACCTATTCTGGACAGTCTAACAGCTGTTGTTTATCAATGACTTGTGAAACTGACCTCTGCATCTCTTTTCCAAACGTAGTTTGCACTTTAAAAGCTCTATTTGGCAAACATCTGAAAAATGTGTAAATTGCATTTTGTTTCATCTTTTATGCTTTCTGTCAACCTCTGGTAGACAATATGGGGAGATGTTCATTGGGATCCCTTATCTCCATGTTGGAGTCAGCATAAGCCATTTATGTAGCTGTAAGGGGTTTCAAAGATACCCTTTCTTTGGGCAGTGTTCTGACTACTGGCCAGAAGCAAAAGATGAGATGTGGCACCTCCTCATGTCTACAGGAAGCATGACAGGAGATGCCTGAGTGTCCCACTGAGAACTTCCACCTCTGTTGGCTTTAGGGCAGCTATTTATTGGCCTAGCCCGACCAGTGCATTCAGCATCCTATCAGGACTCAGGAACGACCTGATACCAGGTTAGTCTATTATTAAAGAAAAAGTCCTCCCACCAAAATCTTAGTCCCCAGAAAGGTGAAGGACCTGTTCTCCACCGCCTGGAAAACAGAAACATGCACTTAAGAAGGTAAAATGTCACTCATATCTTCAATAAAGTTGAGAGAAAGGATCCACGGAAGTACAGGACAACTAGCCTCACCTCGATTCTTGGTGAAGATGGTGGAGCAACTAATTCTGGAAACCATTTCCAAACATATGCAGGACAAGGAGATGGTCAGGAGTAGTCAGCATAGATTTACAAAGGGGCAATTATAGAAATCATGCTTAATCAACTTGATAGGATTCTACAATGACGTGACTAGCTTGGTGATTAAGGCGAGAGCAGTTTACCTCGACTTCAGTAACGTTTTTGACGTTGTCTCCTATATCACACTTGTAGACATGCTAATAAAGCATGGGTTAAAAAAGTGGGCAGTGAGGTGGAAAGAATGCTGGCTGAACCTCTAAGTGATACAAAACCCACCTGGAGGCAAGTCACTAGTGATGTATGCCAGGGGTCAGTATTGGAGCCAATACCATTTAACACCTTCACTAATGACCTGGATAATGGGAGAGAGCGCACTCTCAGCAAATTTACTGGGAAGAGTGGCTGATAACAACAGGGGTTGTGATGCTGTCATTCAGAGGGACCTCAACAGGCTGGAGAAGTGGGCTGACAGGAACCTCATGAGGTTCAAGAAGGGAAATGCAAAGCCCTGCACCTGGAGAAGAATAATCCCATACACCAGTATACACTGATGACAGACCAGCTAAGAAGCTTTTAATAAAAGACCTTTGGTCCTTAGAATGTGAACCAGCAATGTGCCCTTGTAGCAAAGAAGATCAACAGCATCCCATGCTGGTTTAGGAAAAGCATTGTCAGTACGTCAAATGTGGTGACCCTTCCTCTCTCTTCAAGACTTGAGACTGCATCTGGAGTACAGTGTTGAGGTCTGAGCTCCCCAGTACAATAGAGATACGGAGCTACTGGAATGACTCCAGTGAAGGGCTATGAAGATGATTAAGGGCCTGGAGCACCTCTCATATGATGAAAGGTTGGGAGAGCTGAGACTGTTTAGTCAGGAAGAGACTCTAAACATTTTGTGTAAATACCTAATGGAGGGGGGAATGAAGAAGAGAGAGACAGACTCTTCTCCATAGTGCCCACTAACAGGACAAAAGGCAATGGACACAAACTGAAACACATGAAATTCCATCTGAATGCAAGAACACACTTTTTTATAATGAGGATGATCAAAGCCTGGAACAGGTTGCTCAAAGAGTATGTGGTGTCTCCATCCTTAGAGATATTCAAAACCCAATTGGACATGGTCCTAGGCAACTTGGTGTAGCTGACTCCCTTGGAAAAGGGGATTGGACTAAATGATCCCAAGCAGTCCTTTTCAACCTCATGACTTTGTGATTCTGTAACACTGTCTTTATATGTATTATAGGTGGAAACCTGCTACAAGAACATTAAATGATGAAAGTATAAAGAGTTCATCCTTGATTTTTGAGGGAAACACTCCATTATAATGTTCTAGCCACAATTCCTTCAGAACTCTTCTATTTAATACTAAACAATTGAGGGATTCAAATGGAACTTAAAACAGTGAGAATTAACTGTCAAAATTCTGTAACATGAAAAAAGTCCATATGTATGAATTACTAGTATTACCACTTTTGATTCATGCTGGATATCATGAAGATTATATTATTATGACTTTGCAGAAGGAGCATATACCTGGAATTTAGGATACCGAATCCTGTAACCTGTTTGGATACAGGATGGAAAGTCAAGGTGTGTTGCTCACCAGCCTGGGCTGTGGCTCCAAGGATGCCATTGCATCTTCCACAGCCAGGAGGAAATGGCGCTCACCTTTTGTAGGCAGGGTCTAAACCTTAGTTAATTGGTTCATTAGTTTCAATTCATGCCAGCTGGGTAATAACAGGATACCATAAAGCTGATATTACAAGAAACTAGAAAGAGGATTGTAAGGGGCTATAATAAACAGGCAATGCATTGACTGATTATGTATGATAGATAATAATTGTGTGCATGATAACAAGGGAGTTGTGAAGTGAAAGACAAAGACTAATGTTGAGTAAGAATATTTTTTTGAAAGATGTACATCTGAATCTCTCAAAGAAGAAAAATAGGAGTTCTGTTGTACACCATCAAAAACGTTGAACTTAAAAAAGTGCAAAGATTTCTCTTACATCCAAATGGGCATTGCTTTTAGAATCACGAAATAAAGTGAGTATATATAATGCCCATAATATGAGAAAGGAGATTAAAAAGCGTTTGTGTAGCTGAGTGGGGCTGAACTAATTTCCTAAGGAAATGACTAACCTACTCTTGGGTACAGAGTTTGAGGTTTGGAGAGCATTTCAGCTGGAGTATTGTCACAACCTAGAACAGAAATGAGCTACTTACCTGAATATCCTGTCTGAGGTTCTCCATCATGATCAGTACAAATGGAACATTGCCAGGCTTAGGGAGATGGCTGAAAAAGAATTTTGAAAATGGGATTTATATTCCATTTTTTTCAAGCAAATGAGAGTCTACATATCTTTATGGAAAAGCTCTTCTGTGTAGGCGAAACACTACGCTACTTTGAATCTCTCAGTTTACAAATAAAGAGAAATCTGTTTTGTCTGCTTTTTGCTGATGTCTAGCGGGGGAAGCACAAGTAGGTAAAACTGGAAAAGGAAATTGAGGATGACTGTTTACAAACAATTGTTACAAGACCAAGCTGTACTAAAAGCTTTCTTAATTAGATTATTTTTATTCCTAGAAGCCCTGTATACGCTGGATTGTTTCCAAACATTGAAGAAAGATTGTGCCTGAGTAGCAGATCTCAGCGATCAAAAGTGATACTGACAGCTAATGGTTAAAGAAACATACTTAAATAATATTAAATGATAAAAACATCAGATAAATATTTAACTTTATACATTTATATTCCACAAGCAGATTTGTTATAAACTGCTTGTTTTGTTTAGATTTTGGCTATTTCACAGGAGAAAGTGATGCCATATCTTACCAGCTGAAAGAAGAAAGCATAGTTTTCCTTGTGTGTGAAAACCAGCAGATTACTCATGCAGGTGACATACTTCATCTTGTATGCAAAATCAGTGTTTTTTTAATGCTATGTGTTGTGCACTTTATTGAAAGTACGGTAATAAGATCTCATGTCTCTCTTTGCTTGTTATTTGTGCTTCTTTTTCTTATGTGTTCCAGAATATATGAGTTTTTTACTAAACTCATTGCATCTGAACACTTCACCGCTGCCTTGCCCAGTTCTCCATTTTCCTAAATTATTTTGAAGTTATGAATTTGTCTGACTCAGACTGTTTTTTTATGCAGCTATTCTTTGCCTTTCTGTATTTTTTAAATAATACAGAAAGAACTAGCACATCCATAATGCATTAATGAACTTTCAAAATGCAACATGATTATTTAAATCAAGGGTAGGAATTCATTACTTTCTTGGAGTTGGTACAAATATGCATTTCAGGAAGAGAAACTGTTCTTGATATTATGGTTCTATTTGTTTAGATTTTCTATGTTTGTAAGATGAAGAGTACTATTTTGTTGTTGACAGTTGTCAAGAGACAAGATGTGATTAACGGTATAATGAAGGTGCCCCATCTGGATTTCACAATAATATCCTCTCAGAAAGGAGTGATAGCTATTTTTAACAACCAGGTAATTGTGACTCATACAAATTTTTATTATTCCTTTAGGCAGTATATATGGGAAGCAAGTGAACTGTGATCTAGTGTGAAAACTTACCCATAAAAAAACCCTAGATATCTTTTCTATTGAGTTAACTTTTTCATATTTTTTAAGAACAGGAGGAAATAGACATTGTTATTTTCAATTATAAAATTACTGAACAGTCTACAGAAGTTGATAAAAAATAGAGATGGCTAATAAATTACATACTTAAGAGAAGTTAGTTTAATAGAAAATACTCTGTATTTCTTTTTAGAAAAAGATTCCCTTGATACAAAATATTCTATTGGAATTAACTTTCGCATATACAGTGAAAACAAGAGAATTAACTATTTTCTACAGTTACTGAGAGTCTCTAAATTGACAGAAAGATTTATCAGTTGTTTGCAAAGAACAGTCATTCAATACAGCAACATCTAGAACCTTGAAAGTCTTGAATTTTCTGACAGTCTGCATGACATTGCTTCACAGTTACTCCCCTCATCAGCAAAGTGCAAGATCTGTAGCAGTTTAAGCAGAACTTCAGGTTCGAGATGCTGTTAAAGTAGAATTTGTAAATGAGTCTCTCAGATGATTATATTACTGTTTAGAGGTATGCACTTCTAGATCTTATGAGGTACATCACACACCTATGTTCATTGACACTTCACATTTGTGCAGTTTTAATACAACCAGTTTATTAAAAATTGTTTCAGACAATGCAGTAAAGCTTTAAAACAGCACTAATTCTTTCTAGGGGGTTCAGCTAATTAGTGCCTAATGCTTATGACCGGAGAAAGGACTCCTGTGGATGATTAAACAGCAAAGCAATACTGCAGTTTTGGTAAATACTGAAATAATTTATTTGAAAGCCTAGTTCTCTGTCCTCCAGAGCATTATCCCTCTTACGTACCTACGAAAAATAATTTCACAGAGTATAATGTTAAAAATAACTCTCTTCCCCACCCCGCTACCTCCCCATGCTGTTTTCAAGTTGAATTGCTGCCGCCTCATAGACTGAATTGATGTCACTGGCATCAGTGACTGCAGCGTAAACAATTTTACACCCAGCTGCTTAACACTGTGAATTAAAGACCTCAAATCTCATTTATAAAATTGTGTGTTCTGAAAATGACTAAGACGTTACAACAGCAGTCATTTACTCGTGATATTATCTCTGATCTCAGTTGATCTGGATGAAGGAATTTTGACTTCATTAGAATTGCTCTGATACATCTTGATGCAAGGAAGAGAAAACTCTAGTTCTTTAGCATTGCAGTCATTTGAGTCCTGTTGTCAGAATATCACTTCACATCACAAAGACAAATATAGAGTTGGTGCCTTTTGCGTCATTCTTCTCTCAAAGACCAAGGGTTTTTCAGAAGGGAAAAGGTTGAAACTGCTTTTGAATACTGAACAGTAGCTTTGTTAAAGGACAAAGAAGGTGACCCTGTCTCTACTGGATAATGATATACACCTACCACTCTATGACTTTAAACACTTTAGGTTTTGAGCCATGTGCTACTCTGTCCACCAATAGTTAACTTTGCTGAAAAACACTGTACCAATATGGGTATTCCTATCTGCAGCCTACCATGCTACCTCTACCTGATATTTTGCTGACACTACTTGACTCGTCATCTGGGCCAGTATTAGCTTGGATTTCTCTATGCCACATCCTACTTCTTGCAGGAGCTGAAGATGTTCTAGATGTGAAAGACCATTAGAAGCGTAATTCCATGAGAAGAACAGCTGATCTGTACTTCACTGTAAAAAGTGGGTAATTTTTTTTATTTATTTTGCTCACTCCAACATCTCAATTAAAAAAACACGAAGAACAAACAAACAAAACAAACCACAAAAACCCAACAAACAAACCATGAAACAACTGTGAGAGAAAGAGAGAGTTTAAGTTCCTCACTATATATAGAGGAACAGACAGTAGGTAGGTTAAAGATCTTTCTCAGAAGATCTGAACTATGAACGCTTTCTGTTGGCTATTATTGTTCTATTCTGCCTGTGATACAGGAGAGTTGACTGTGTTCAGACTTTCAATTTAATTGCTAACTTGTTATTGTGACATATTTTGTTTTTTTCAGATGAGGGTTCTGACAACCACCAGTGTTGAAGTAAGTTAATTTTCCTCCTTCTATTAAATAATTTGAATTAAAAATCAGCAGGTACTTAAGTGACATAATTAAAAACTGAGCATTATTCTAATGCTACTTCCAACTTCGAGACTTCTGCATAATTTGGCATAGGGTGCCATAGGTCAAACAGATTCAATGTATTCTTTTCAGTTATAGAAACAATTGGGTAACTTGATTTCTTTCCTCTGATAAAAAGAAACCACAGATAAATACTTCTTTTTCTACCAAACTGTTCTTTATCCATTACCTTTCCAGAATTTTTTCTTCTAAGCTCCAACACTTCAATTGTCACTGTAAAATTTAAATAAGAAAAATTATAAGTTCATTAGTGAAAAACAGTTCCATATCTTGCTAAGTGCATTGGCTGGCTACCTGGTATACACTTTAAAGCTCATTTTTACCCTGGTAGTATCACTGCAGATTTTAGATAATAAGCTTCCTTCAGATGACCTGCAGACAAGAGAACTGTCATCAGTCTCAACAAAGTGACATGACCCATTGCCCTAAAAGTCCGTGTAGGTATCTTGTGCCGGGGGCAGTGCATTTTGCTGATTCTCTCTCACATATTGTGCATGTTCTAAAATGCAATAGAAATATTCCAGACCACAGGCCCTACTACTCCAACTCAGAAAACAGCTCCAGGCCTGGGTTGCATTTAATTTGTTGTAAGGACTAAATCTGACCTGTGGAATCGGTACAGAGAGGTAAACTGTGAGAAATGTTCTTAAGAGGGTGAGGGTCAGCTGGAAAGAAGGGCTTTTGCCCTTCCGGGACTCTCACTTTTGGACTCTCAGAGTGCTTTCTCTCTCTCTCGCTCTCTGTCTCGGGGCCTCCCGTTCATCCGGGATCGCGGTATCGGGTTTTATCTGTTTCAGGATTGCAGCTTCGTAACGAAACAGGCCTTGGTCAAGGGGTGGTGAGCAACTACACTGTACATCACTCGTTTGTATATATTTATCCCTGTACATATCCGTGTACATATATATTTATGGCATCCAATTAACTAATTAACTAAGGTTGAGACCCTGCCTACAAAAGGCGGGCCATATCCTCCTGGCTGCGGAAGATGCAATGGCATCCTTGGAGCCACAGCCCAGGCTGGTGAGCAACATATATTGGTAGCAGTACTAGTAAATTGTTCTTATCTCAACCCATGGGTCTCTTTTCTTTTTCTTCTTTGATTCTCTCCCTCATCCCTGGGGGTGGGGGAGTGAGCGACTGTGTAGGGTTTGGTTGCCGGAGCAGCCTAACCCGTGACAATGTCAAGTCACTGTATTGGTTTTGTTGTTATATTAACATTTTTTGTATCAAAATTGTGAAATTTTCAGATGGCCTAGTTAAAAATGACCCTCTTTTGCTTCCTGCTCTGCCTTGTCTTAGGGAATAGGCAATCTTATTTAAGTGATTGCACTGAACAACCCTGTCCTTAGCCAATTTACTTTTTTCTCATCTTTCCTCTAACTATTGCACTAAAAATAGAATTAAAATGGCTATTACTGGGCTTGAGGTTGAACTTTTTGATGGCTGTTAAAAGATTTTCATATTTGCAGAATGTAATATTTTAAAATTTTTTGTTCTTAAAAATGGAAATTCTATATACTTATCCCAAATCACAATGAAATAAAATTCTAGATGATTTTGAGCGAATTAATTCCACTTTCCAGGCAGTTGAAATGTATGATGCTATTAAATTTATTAACTTAAGAACTCTTTGAGGCATACATCTCTAGAATTGGATTGGAGATTTTTCTTTTAAAGTGTGCTTATTAAAACTGAAGCTTTGCGTTTTAATAGCTTTTATCCAAACACTAAAAGTCAAAGGTCAATATCTTACATGAGTGCAAATCATCACTGATCATTTACTTGTTAAAGATATGGTGAATTATACTAGTTGAAGAGCTGAGCACCAAATGGTTATAATGTTCAACTATGAATAATATCTTGTGATTAATTTCTGAATAGCTAAATAGAGAAAGCTGCCTTGGCCTTACAGGGCTTACATTTTTCTTCTTCAGATCTGCAGAAATAACAGTCCATTCTTTTCTCACTACAAGTATTATGTCATTTTCATTTGGTTTAGCGTCATCATCAGTACTGGCACTAGCTAACTGATCAAGCTGTATGTTTGTAGGCATCTTCGTGCAGTTGAAGCAAGGTACTCAATTCAGAGCTCAGTTATCAGACTCTAAACGTACCATCCATTGATAAACAATGATGTGTGCAGAAGGTGGCTAACAAATTGCAGAATAATTCTTAGGTTCTTCTACTCTCTACCATTCAGTTTTCTCATTCTTAAGGTGTTTCAGAACAGAGACTTACTCAAGTAGAGCAGCAGAGGTCTTGGCCCTGAGGATATTGAGCCAGAAAGGCTGTGAAACACAGTAGTTCTAGGAATAAAATCTGGTCCATTGCAGCCATCAGAACTTTCCCAGCATTATCATGGTATAAACAGAACATTAACTATGAGTACAGATCATTTACTATTTTGTTCCAGGGATGTTATGGAGAACAGGCCATTTCAAGAAAACTTGATTTAATTTCATGATGAGATTATGCGAGTGAGTGAAAAGAATAGAGGCATAAATGTAATACACTTAAAACTGTACAGTATTGGACTTAGTACCATATGAATATCTATTTTAAAATATGACCACTAAAAAAATCATTAGAGTGCATGTTAAATGAATTAAGAATTGTCCAGCTGACAGGGTCCAAAAATAGTAGTCAGCATAGAATCATCATTGAATGATGATGGGAATACTGGTAGTGAACAAGTCACTTCTCTTGAAGAATGGAAATGAAATGACTTTTAAATACAGCATAGGAAAGCACAAACAAACCCAGTGGATGAGCCAGACAAGCTGAAACAGAAACTATATTGTCATTTTTTTTTTCTCCTTTTTCATGAAATAGTATCTTAATGATAACCATGTCTCTAGGCCAGGATGCTACAACACAATGGCTAGGATGCTTCACTGTAAAAGAAAGACCAAGCTTAATTTTACCTGACTGATTTTTAAATGTGTACTTAGCTGCAAGCAGATCTTTCCCTTGATGAATTAGAGCACAGAGCTGTTCCTATTTGGAGTAAAAACAGTCAGAGCAGAAGGCACATGTTATTCCAACATCTATTTCCCTTTCACTGCTGATTCTTTAGGGGAGTAATAATCCTCTGCCCTATAAGAGCAGGATTTTCCCTGAGAACATGCTAAGCATTAAAGTATCTTTACATAGCAATGCATGGGTGCGTGTTTCTTGTTTCATTTGCCTAGGGACTAACTGCTGCCAAAGTCGTCTTTGACAGTCTGATTTTCTAGTCGCAGATATTGGGACAAGAGAAGGAAGCTGAAGCCTGTGCTCATACCCTGGTTTGGTGGCTCAGCATCATTAGCTACATGGAGAGAATAGTGAGGGAGAAACTGATACCCGGAATAGGCTACTAAAACCAGAAGCAAAGTTATTCCATAGATTGGTGGGAAGCAGAGAATATTAGGGTCCCGTAGAATGTAAGAATATAGACTAACTTAGACTCCAGTGTAATTAAGAAACTAACTAAATTTTATGAAGTTTAGTTGCTTAGTTGTGGAAAGTTAAACATTTCTCATTTTTCATGGATGTGAAAGATTGAACCTCATTTATCTGTGAGTATGAAAATTTAAAATAAATTCATTGACTCCAGTGGCTATATTAGATTTTCAAAGGGGCAAAGGGTCCCTGGCATCTGTTTTTATCTTCAGTGAGAAAGGATCTAGCTTTTTCTCTTCAGCTATCCTATCCTGTGGAAAGGGCTCTGACCTCAACTGAAAGAAAAACTTTAAAGTCTCATTGTCATGTGCCAGCACCCAGTAAATACCCAGTGCATTTTCACCTGCAGGTAGACATGGGATAGGAAAAAAAAGACAAGACTTCACAGAATGTCAAAGAGGTGACCTATAGCTCCTTTAGAAGAAAGCTTCAGGAGAATAGACTTTGATAGTAGGCCTTGAGGCAGAGAGGTTAAAGGAAAACATTTGCTCTTTGAGACATTTAAAGAAACTTGTCTGGAAATTGTAGCTCACTGCTGGATATGTGAACATCATTGTTTTAATATTTTGCTGAATTCCTTGGTTAGAATTAGTAAATTGTGCCCTCAGAGAAGAATAGCCACTGCCAGCACAAATGACAACAGCCATTTCACTCTGTCTTATGTTCTCAAAGTATTTGAATTTGACCATCAGTATGGGAAAACAGGCTAGTAGCCTTAAACTGATATGCCTAAAAGATGTTTAAGTATGATGAAGACATTTCCCTTGAGTTGCCAATCTAATCTCTAGCCTTTCCCACTTATTCTTCCTTAACTGTTAGCACACATCTTACTTTCTTCTGTCTTCCAAGATTATCCTTACAGATTAGCTGAGTTATTTCTCCCAAAAAGATGAGAAATATTTGATGTTCAGCTGGGATAAGTCCCCTCTCAAGGCATATACTGACTGACTTTGAAAGATTCAGTTACCAGGATGGCATTTATGGGGGACAGAACTTTTCAGGGGAGAGAGGTATTTGATCTGTAAATAAGGGTTAATCATGCACAGTTCTCAAATCACTGTGCTGTAATGTGATTTGTTTTGTTTAATTGTTTCAAAGAAATATCAGAGTTTCTTGGTTGTATTTCTAGGCAAGTATATGAAATAAAGTTTTGGTATCAATATATTAAGTATTTTCATAAGGACTTTATTGCCTAAAATACAATTACAACACAAAAATATCCCTTAGACTTTCTCTGTAAGCAGTCAAGAGCAAAGATTCTCCTTACTTCTTGCTTTTGATCTTCCTTTGCCTCTATATCATCTCACTATATGTGATAGCCTGCAAAACCTTTGCAAGATGCAGGTCTGTTACTTTGACTGCATCATCACAAGCCAGCACTACAAAATAGTAGCTTAATTACAAATGTAAAACCAGCTTTTTCATACCAGTTAGTCATTGTTATCTGATGCTATCGTAAGGACTTCAAAAAGTTACAGATAACAAAGTCTTCTGTAAGAATTACCAAGCAATCCATAAGGCCCCTGCAGGACTGACATTTTCCATGTGTTCATTGTAGAAAGCAGCACAAGAAATTCTTGTAAATGTACTACCACTTGCCCACAGGCCATTAGGAAGGAAAGAAGCTTTCTCCTGCAATAGAGTGTTGACATTACTCTGTCAGGATTTTGAACCCTTTTCACTAACAGCAAAATTAGTATTATGCACAACAATGGAAATAAAAGTAGGACCATCAGCAGCTGCCTTGAATTCACCATGGGTTTAGTCTTGTGCCTTTTGCTTCTCAACACTTTGAGGATGTAAACTGTATTTTTAGCAACGTTAAGTCCCTGTTTTAGCTGTTTATCAAGTACTTCCACTAGAAGGGGTTTTTAGAGGTTGCAGGTAGATATCACTTACCTGAAGAACTGCCAAAAAAGCATTATTTAAGTCTGTGCCAAATGTTTCTTAGTCACTTTAACTTAGGAAAGAAAGAAAGATGTTCCAGTCAGTGTTATTTTGTAGATGTTCTGAATTATTTTAAAATAATAGATAATTGTGCCATTGCAGATATAAAAAAAATAACCTGTATTTCAATATGTGAACTTGATACAGAAGACAAATATAAAAGCCTATATAATAAACTGTGAAATAAGATTGCTGAAATAAGATTTTTAAAACTTTTCAAAATGGAAATGAAATGGAGTATATTCCATTTCAATCTTGTTCTCATTTAGGGAAGTCCACTACATTTTGGGGGAAAAAATCAAGCAGCTATTAATGTTTAAAAAATCCTCACCTAAATTCTGGCCAGTATCATATTGAATTTGAGTCCTAATCTTACACTTTGCAAGAGAAATTGTTTTACATTAAGAACTGCATAATCATAAGTATTTTTGAAAAACAGCTTAATATGAGCAGATGTAGTGTAAATATTTATAATATTTGATCTACCTGTTGGGAGATTTAAAATTATTTAACAAAAGTTACTCATTTTCATGAACTCATTTCAGCAGGGTTTGTGTTACTATAGCTGAAATTTTTACTGCCTTTTAAGTTTCTTTTGTTTTGAACTAAACTATATCCAAGAAAAATTTTAATCTGCTTTACCTTGGATGATGTAGCTTAAATTTTCTCTCCTCAGAATACTTTTTTCAGAGTGTCAGGGGGGTTGGAACTAGATGCTCTTTGAGGTCCCTTCCAACCCTAACCATTCTATGATTCTATGATTGTGTCCTCTCATGTGCAATGTCTGTGCATCTGTGGTGAGTCACCATTAAGAGAGGTTGAGCCTGGCACCTCTCTAACTTCACATATGAGCTATTCCTGGAGTTAGAACTCTCAGTTCTGTTAGCTGGGGCTGGATCTAGCAGCTAGTCTAGTGTATATGGAATTTATGTAGAGATGGTTTAAAATATGTTTCTAAATAACAAAGAAGGTTATAAATTTATACAGAAAATCCTTCTTTATCTACCCTTTTTATTTTTGTCAGGATACTACTTGGATCACTGAAGGTCATTTCCCACCTCAGCTGAAATGAGTCATGGATGTAACTGAAAGGACAGTCATCGTCTGGGATTATAAATCAATAGGGAGTCAGGTAGTATGTTAGATTAGGCGAATGTTAAAGAGGAAGACTGAGAAAGATTAGTCTTTGTTTTCAATGTACCTTCACATTCCCTTTGTCTAACAGGATGAAGGCATTAACTTTTGGCTTTGTAGGAACTCTGAAACAGTGGAATTTATACCAAAAAAGGAATACCCTTTTCACACCAAATGGGTTTATTAGACTCTCTTAAAAGCTTGGAAGAGAACAAAGAAAGAAACAAACAAACAAAGAAACAAACAAACCCCCAAATAATTTATTTTCTATGTATATCTAATGCATATGTGTGCACATGTATAACTAATGTGTGTGCATTTGCATGTGTATATCTCAGAATCTATTAAGAAGCAAGGGGCAGGTTTCCCAAGGAATTCAACATAGACTCCTTTGAGGTAACTTTCTGGTTTAAAGAAAATATTTCTTCATATCCTGTATTTTGTTCAGGACTTTCCAAGTCCTGAGCAAAAGCATCTTGATGTTGACAGTGTAGGTCCAAACAGTTAAAGTTTTCTTGAATGTCTTATTACAAAATACAATTTTTGCAAGGATTTCTGACCCATACCTTGGATTTTTTCTCCTGTTTCGAGGCTTTTCTCAGCAAGTCTGTGTTGGCTGAGAAGATCAGGGGAAGCAAAGTAAATATTTTAGAATAAGAGCAAGTCTTTGGATTTTTTTTTTTTTTTATGGTTCTCAATATTAAAAGACCTCTTCTCAAGCTCAGACAGTCAATGGAAGTCTTTCTGCCAATCGAGTCGGGCTCCTGGGAAGGAAGACTCAAAAATCCATTCTCTAGTCATTCTCCAGGTTTCCTCCAGTCCTTACATCAGTGAGAGCTGAAACTGTCCTATGGCTGAATAGAAGCAGTTCTCTTTCGAGACCGCGGGAATAATATATAGACAGTTCTATATTTGTGTTACATCTCCTTAATATTTCTGTGCTACACAGACAACATTGAGGCAGTTAATTCCTATGGCATGTGAACAGTTGCCAGTTTAGGTTGGCAACTTAATCAAATAACAGATGGAGTCAGGCAGTAGAACCAGTAAACTGTATAATGCAAATGACCCAAAATCTCATTCCAAGGACTTCTCATTCTAGCAAAATACCACAATGGCTTGCAGCTGTATTAATTCCCACTATCTCAATTCCTGAAAATTTGAACAGCTGCCCATATAAGTACACTTGGTACTCCCAGACTGTATTAATATTTAGGACTCTGATATAATTTCTCTCTATGCATTACTGCAGCATTTTGTGGTTTGAATAATTCTTTAATTTCACTATTTTTCATTTTCTTGTAGACAGCATCTTATTTTTGAACAGGAAACCATATACAGTCTTAGAAAATATACCATTCCACTTAGCATGGTGAGATCCTCCATAAAATTCGTAATTAATATTTCCTCACTGACACGGAAAAAGCTATCTATGAAATAAAGCCTCACTGAAATCCTTAAAGTTTAATTTTAACTTCACTTGGTGATGATCTTCCATGAGTTTCTAATACCAGGAAAGGGCTATCACACGGGGGATAGAGGACAACTTGTAAGTACATGACATCTGAAAAAATAGACCTTTTACTTTATAACTCTTGCAAGATGCCATCCTGTTGTATTGAAGCTGTCTTTTCCATAAGCGTTGTTAATACAAACAAAAATGTTGCTTACCTGATTAACTGTTTTATTAATGATTACAAACCTGTAAAGTAATTTTCTGTCCCTAGAGAGGTCAATGACTTCACATACTGTGGAGAAGAAAAAGTCATTGTCACTGGGGCTAAGTATTGGGGGTTTTTTTCCAAAAGATTGTCTGTTAACATTTTTTCACAGTTAAATAAGATAAAGTCATTGTCACTGGGGCTAAGTATTGGGGTTTTTTTTCCAAAAGATTGTTCTGTTAACATTTTTTCACAGTTAAATAAGACCAAATAAAGCCGCTTTAGTATCTTAAGAATTTAAATAATGGCTTCTGTCTTAAATGATAGGAAACAGAGGATTTGCTTTTAGTTGCTGGGAGCTTCACCCTGAAAAGATACAATTCCTGACAGGAATCTATCGAGGACTCAGTATGAGTTTCATTCAAGTATCATAAAACAGGAGAAACAGTATGTTGAACTACTCTAAGGCACTTTTCCAAGTAATAGTTGTGACTGTCATGGCCAGGTTACACACATTACTCCTTGCAGTATCAGCAGGGCTCCCATCCTTTCCTGTTACACTTTGGCCACCATTTCCTGTCTTAAGCAATCACATTGGCCCATCTTAATAGTTTCTCTTGCTCTTCTCACTGATCACATTTCCCCAAAGCTTACTATTCGTTTTTCCTGCCAAAGCAGACTGCAGAAACAGCAGTCTTACCTGTTATCCAATAATTTTATGAGCCTTTCTATTGCAGTGGTCATATTTTATGCTGCAGAAATGTGGCTGGAGTACGGCTGCAGACTTGTTTGTGTATTCTGTCTGACGGATAGTGACCTGAAGTGACATCAATGCTGCCTATCTCCAAGTGTTCTGTATGAGAGTCTTGCTTAACACTTTGTTAAAAATTGTTTTGAACAATGTATCACATAGCAATTCTTATGTCTATATTTAACAAGAATTAAAAAATGGCCAAGGCTCCGGTGTTCAGCCTTGACGATATGCAAGACAGCAAAACAAATTCTAGGGAAAAAAAACAACAACAACAACAACAACAAAAAATCCAAAACCGACTAGACATGGGAAATAATGCAATACAAGCTGAATTGTAGCAGTGTACCAAAGGGAAAACTGTGACAGATATCAAAATAAATATCAGACAGTTCTATTGATTTTTTAGACACAAGATTTAAAGGGAAAGTAATAGGGGTATAGGAAAGTTATTAGTGAAAATTCTGAAGTTCAGCCTTGAGAGAGATCTTATTTACATTGAATACCTTGTCACGAAAAGTAGCCTGGAGAAATTTACTGGTGACACACAGAATGTGCTTAGTATTTCCTACAGGAGGATTTTACTGTAGTAATGAAAACAGAGTGAAGGGTCTGAATAGGATAGAAGGTCAATTACACAGGAACTAATAAAAGTCTCTGTTACACACCAAAAATTCTTATAGAAATAGCAGACGAAGAGAAATATCTGGATAAACTTTCTAAGAAAATAAGAACAGCTATGATAGGCCAGACCAAAGGTCTGCCTAGCCCACTATCCCCTCACTGACAGTGTGCAACAATAAACAGCTGTGGCAGAGTATAGGAATAGGGCAACCATGCGGCAACAATTGCCCTGGGTACCTGTGTTAGCTGAAATAGCTGTTCCACAGGTAACAAAGGATTAACATCTCTGAATTTGACCAGAGTAAAACCTCATGTTGTACTGGAATCCACCATATGGTTGATATGAGCCGTGTTTGAGATAGATTAGTTGAATTTAGAAAAACGGTGGGGGAAACTTATGACATAGAGAGTAAACATATCACACAGAGACTAAAAAAAGCATTTTCTATATCCTACCAAAATGGCAATTAATGAGAAATACCATTTCTGTCTATAAAAATATCAGGAGAATAAATATTAGAGCAAAAATTAGAGCAGTGACATTCTGGAAGAGTCCTCTGAATAGTGGCAGTTGCAGAAAGAAATATCCTCCTCCATTTAAAATGGAACTCGAAATTTTTGAAACAGATAGATTGCATATTTATCTGTGATGGTTGGAGGCTAGACGTGTAATGCAGGACTCCCTGTCCCATCTAAACAGCTACCTAATCAGAATAGTTTAGAAGATGAGCTTTCTCAATACTGCATTTTAATTTGTCGTAACTTTCACTGCATGAAAGTACTGAAAGCAAGGGCAACATGACAAATGTTTAATAATACTGTGTTCAAGAACTCTGTAATGATGGTTTTGAAAAAGTGTAAGAACTGTACTTCTAACAATCTTCCAGTCTATTCCTGGATCATGACATTTACATACCCTCAATTTGGAATCCTTTCTTGCTTGTTGACCCACTGGCCTTCACCTTGTTATTAAAAGAAATCCTCCTGCCTTTCACTCTTATTCCAAGTGGTTAGCCCTGCTGCTTCCCCTGAACATAAAAGGAAATTATTCCTGAGATGGAGTATTAAGAGTCACAGAAGAGAGTGGGAATCCATGGCCAAAGACAATGACAGGATGGGATCATCTCTTTTGATTTCACTGTGAAGTTTACATCAGCCAGGGGCTACTGTGAAGCTGCCTTCAGAAGCTGAGCTTTAGAGTTCAATGCTGTATTAATAAATTACACTGCTCACAATGGCACAGCAGTCTGTCAGACTAGAGCACACTGTGTTTGCCTCTGCATCTTAAAAGCCATCCCTCTCTCTCGTCTGGCTGAGAAACTCATGTTGACGATCCACTTAATGAGAGAATTAAACTGTTTCAAATTAATATAGGCTGGTCTTGTTGATTAACAAGCCTGCAATTTTAACTGTAATATACTCTAAAAATCAAAGACCAGAGCAGATAAATAATTCAGGAATCATAATATACGATGACATGTGCAACCATTTGTGAAAACTATGTTTATAAGTCACATTCAGCAATTAAAAGAAAAAAAAAATCCAACCTTTGATTGCAGTCTAGCTTCTATAGTATCCAGTGGGGATAAATGTGCCAACCACTTTACTAAGCCTCAATCTATTGTTGTTTAGCCAGGTGTTTATTTTACAAATAGTATGCAAAATACCACAATATTATTATGCTAGGAAGTAACTATTTAAAAAGTTATGTTTTAACACCCTTGCTCTTTCATAATCTGTTGTATTTGAATACACTCATGAGTTTGCCAATACTGTGACACAGCCTAATTTTTTCTTTCAGATATTTGACATTTGTAATAATGAATAAGAAAGATACAAGCAAACCTGGTACAGAGCTCATTTTTCATGCTAAAAGCTAGACTTCTTCAACCAATAAAATAATAAAAGCCTGATAATGGCCTAATATATGGAGCCCTTAGTAATTTACAATAAGTTTTATGTGTAGCATTTTGCATTAATATTATGTTGAATGGTAAAATGATATGATTTTCCTCTTACTCTATGTCCATTTCAATTCCAACTATGTCTTAATCATTACCTCAGGGAACAGCTACAGTTAAATCAAATTATGGATGCGTATAAAAGCTGGAGATGATCAGTTTTAAATTATATGATACATCAACTTCTAACTCTATTATTTCTTCAAATTCAGCTATTGTTCTTTTGTGAGAAACAAAGTAGAAGAAAAACTATTATTGATTTCTAAATCTAGATGTAGCAGCTTAAGACTGACAACAGGAAGTCATCTGTGCTTGCTCAGTATCCTTGCTGTTTTCCTGGCACAAATGAAGCAACTGGTAACATCTTACATACATATTTATTTATTTATTTACTGGCATTATACATTGGTATTGACATTTTCAGGAATTCCCAGGAATCCTAGTTATAGAAATCATATCCCAGGACTCACTAATACTAGTCCTCACAAGCATAAGCAGACTCTTTTCCATGATGCAGTCCAAATTTAAGAACATATGAAGATAGACAAGGTAGCACAAATAAAGAAAGAGACACTGGTCAATATGATACACATATGAACTTGTGTTAGTTTACCAGATGTCTAACTGTTCTGAAGAGATGTTGCAGACATTATAAGCCAAAACTATTTAAAAGGTAGCTTGAAGGAATAATGAGTTGTTTTAAAGAATAAGAGGTCCTTCTGTGTGAGAGGAGCAGCACAGAAGGAAACCAGGAGTTATATTTTTCTTTTCTAGTTTATCAGAGGTTGCCAAGCTAAGCCTAGAATTTTTTCCATTAAAAAATACTGTTGTTCTCAAGGGAGTTTCCACACTACTGAAATGAAGAGATCTCAGCAGACTTGTAATACAACACCAATTGCAAAATTGTGTGAGCAAGGGAGAGAACTTGACAAAGGATCACTTCTTCAAAGAATGCATTGGAATCCATAACATCTATCTAGAATAGAGCTGTAGTCATAGAATCTGACTTTTTTAAAAGCCCTAAATACATGCTTTCATAATTATTTATCTTGGAATGTAGAACACCAAGCTGAGCCCATTATGATTCAAATCATTAATTTCACAGAATCTTAAAAATTTGCTGTCTGATATGTAGACAGATAATTCAACTTCTTCAAGTTTTTCTTGAATGTGCTTAGTACTCCTGCCTTCTGTGTCAAGATTCTGAATTCTGGAGGCATATTTGGAGGCATATTTATTCCAGTAAATGTTCCAGTGAAGCAGTGAAGCAGCAAATGTGATGACCAATCTGGCATTAGTCCAGAAAGAGAGGAGAGAACATGCCTACTATAACCAAATTCACCATTATCTCAACATCAGTAAAAGGAACAAAAATTAATCCACTATTTCACATAAGAAGCAAAGCATTTTTAATGTAAGGAAAGGTTTTCTTTCCTAATAACACTTGTTCTTCCTATTAATAACTGAAGTAAAGGACATTTATTAGTGATTCTATTCTTAGAAGAAACTCTGTGCCACAATTAATGGGCATTATCCTCCCCTCCATTCATCTGCCATCACCTCAGGAATATAAAGAACAGAGCAATAAGGAAGGCTAAGAAAGATGCTATTGCTCGAAAGCGCAGCAAGTAGGTAGTTGAGTTGGTCAGATGCTATCAACAGCTCCTACCTCGTTCACTGTCATTTTAAGGCATGACAGGTTCCATTTGGGGATGCTAAAGGGCATCTTGTTGAAGCAGTGTCTGTCCCTTCTGATTATAACTGATCTCACCAGTCTTACTAGGGACTCCTGTCTACCATATTTCGTGTCCTTCTGTTGACCTCATGGAAGGTCTGCAAGCTGTCTTTTACTCCCAGGGTCTTGTTTCTCAGTAATGTGTACTGGCCTGGTCAGAAGGGTTCTGCTAATTTATGGACATGCGTATGACAATCTAACATAACACCTGAGGAAGTGAGCAGGAGCCCAGCACATTCCACAGTTTCCTCATCCAAAAGGGTTTCACAAACCTCTTGGGAAATTATAGCCTTTTAAAGCTACTTTCTGCCATGCTTACAGCACAGACAGCTAATCTAGAACAGTTTTGCCTGAAAGTGCCCTTGAAAAGAAAATTGCTCCCATTCAAGTTACTCCTGATCAGCCACTTATCCGTGACTTCCCTTTCCTATGCAGACGTTATCCCTCCATTGTGCCCGTACAGCTGTTTGCATGGTTGCATTCTCAGTCACACTTGTGAAATGATCTGGCATAAAACAAAATTACTTTCTATTGTAGCTATTTTAAGAGTAGATAATTTTTTTCCAATGAGCATCTCTCTAAATGAACATAAACATGAACATTAACAGTGCAATCTATTTAACTGACAGGACAATAATGTTTAATGGAGGAATAGGGAGATGGGGTGCTCCTAAATGAATCACATATTGCTGCATTAAGAAGAAAAGGAACACATCTCTCTAGAGTGAGGGATTGACCAATGACAGTAGGCTGAACAAGCTTAAGATCCCTGACGAGCAGACTGTAAGAGGTGACCTTCAACTGTTCTCTTTGTTAACAAAATTGAGCTGAGCTTCACAGTCTGGAGGTTTCGTGAATGTTCTTTTGGGGCATGTACTTCCTAGACTATTTTTTTTGGCTTTCTACACTTCATTTTAAGCCAAGAGAAAACTAAAACTGAAACTGAAGTCTAGATAAAATGTGGCTGTTTCATTTACTGTGTGTCAAAACAGAGCGCTCTAACTGCATACAATTCATACAGTTGCAATATTTGCCAGGAATTGAAAGTTAAAATATAAACTAATTTATGTCAAATTTGAACTGGGCTCCTGTTCTCTTGAAATTCGTGAAAAATATGAACTAGGTACAGTTGTGTTTACATCAGTATGAAAGTTAAAATATAAACTAATTTATGTCAAATCTGAACTGGGCTCCTGTTCTCTTGAAACTCGTGAAAAATATGAATTAGATACAGTTGTGTTTACATCAGTATCTAAATCCAGGAGTTAGCTAATACATTTTTAACATCTTTGTGTTTTGAAATATTTACGGAAACTGTTATGAAAATAGTACCAAAAGATTACTCTATAATGCAATCAAGGATTATTCCCTGAACTGTACGCAATGTTTGAACATACAAATAAATATGAAAGACCTAATTCTCATTTATTTCAAGACAGAAAATCACTCATCAGCAGTTATTGTTTCTGTCCTCAACTTTCAGGTCTGCTCTCCTTCCTGTTCTGCATGCCCACCCTCTTCCATAGAGGTGGTCATTCCTTTGTTTTCTGGCTAAGTGGTCACAAATATTGGTTTTACATTTTTGTGAACTAGATCTTTGAAGGAAAAAAATTTGAGCCCCAGTTCTGTTTCTAATAAAGTATTCCTATGGGACTAGCACATGTAGTCACATCCAGCATCCCTGACATTTGTCTAGCAAAATAAAAAGGCTTTGAAAAGTAAATCAGTTATGTGGTTTTAATACACGTTTGGGGATAAGCTGGAATCCAGCTCTTAGAATGAAAAATTCACATTTTTATGTGGCAGTTGCCTACATGGTGAAAGCAGAGACTTATCGGCACTAAGCTCTCCATTATGAAGCTTATTTGTTATACCAGTGACTATTCAGTCTCTCTGACTATAGATATTTTATTTTTTTCTTTCAGATCATAACTGTTTTGTTTGTGGCATCCTGCTATTAATAGTAGGCCTACAGGGAAGCTATCAGGACACAGATAGTGTCACGGAAATTGTGACAAATGAAAAAGATCATCCTGTCATGAGCCTTTCCTCTGCAAAGGCAAAACACTTTTCTTAACTGCACAGAAATCAATGGTATAAATGCAAGAAGGAATCTGGTTTTGGGTCACTACTTCTGATAGTATCTAGTCCTATTCACATTGTTTATCAGTTCATTTATTTTAATAAAAAGGTGGAGTTTTAGCTTATTTCTCGTGTCACTGTAGGATTAAACATTATGTTCTTTAGGTAGATGTATATGCACAGACTGGGGTATTCTTTATACTGCCAAGGTCTCTATCAGAAATGCAGTAAATTTCTGCATATTCTGTGTATTTTTTGTTTCCATTTCCTTCAGGAAGTGAGATGTGAATGACAACAGCAGCACCTTCCCAGTCAAGTTTAGTTTCTTAATCCTCACCAGGCAAGGTAGTCCTTATTTTCTGACATATGTGACCATAGTGAAAAAGTTATAGTTTTACAGGTGGACAATCACAGCTCCTATGAGAGAAACAGGAGAAGTTAAAGAAAGACGGGAAATTTTTATACATCATACAAGAAAAACACAAAAAACCTTGCATGCAGACAAATTTATCACTACTTTTAGCTGTCCTTTAAAGGACTTGAGAAATGGGTAATATACAAATGATTTATTAAACTTTTACTGCATGTGCACTTTGTACTTACGAGATCTGGCCTTGGTATGAGCCATTACTGTATTTTGTGGAATAATATGCATGTCAGAATGTCCTGGTTTTGACTGGGACAGAGTTAGTTCTTCTTTTTGGCAACTAGAAGAGCTCTGTGTTTTGGTTTTATTCTGGGGTTTGTTATGAGAAAGTTGGCACTGAGACATCAAGGACCTTTCAGCTTGTCATATTCTTGCCAGTGCGCAGGAGCACTACAGGCTGGGGGGGAGCAGAGCCGGGACAAAAGGTCCACAACTCCCCTTATGATTTGAACTTAGACTTAAGATTGAGGGCCAAACTGGTCGATGGAGTATTCCATATCGTACAACGTCATGCCCAGTATAGAGATGGGGGTTGACCAGAAAGAAAGGCTTTTGCTTTTCCAGGGGCTCTCACTCGTGAACTTCAGAGTGCTATCTCTCTGTCTTGTTCTCTTTTCTGGCGTCTTGCTGGTCAGGATTGTGTTGTCAGGATTTACCTGTTTCTGGATTGTTAGCCAGGACGGGACAGGTGTTGGTCACCAGGTGGTGAGAATTTACTCTATGCATCACTTGTTTGTATATATTATTACCATTATACACATATGTATTCATTATTATAATTGTTATTATTGTTATTATTATTAAATTCTTCTTGTCTCAACCCACAAGTCTCCTTCTCTTTTCCTCTTTATTTCTTCCGCATCATCTGGGGGTGGGGGAGGGTAAGCGAGCGGCTGTGTGGTGTTTAGTTGCTGGCTGGGCTAAACCATGACACAGAATTAAGAAATTATTTTGCATCTGTCCTTCTCTACCTCCATCAGTTCTTTTGTAAGCAGACACATGTTGATGATATTTAGTACTGTGGACTCAGTGGATTCTGTGAGCATCGCGTATATTTTTTGCTCCAAGCAGAGACTTTAACTGCTAAAGAGATAGATTATATCTTTTAAAATAATTTCTTAAAATGTTTTGAAATTAGAGTAATATGTTAAACGTCCTTGTCTTTGTTACTGCCTCATGGGTCAGTTAATGGGAATGGCTGGACAACTGAGAATAAGGATATTCCTGTGAAATACATTCAGGAACCTTTTAGAGAATTTCCCAAACTGTTTTCTTGTTTAACTTCGATTACATATATTGCACATAACTTCTGGATTTCACTCCCTAGAACTGCAACACATTCGTTTCCTATGATCTGTTACATATTACTTTACAAAAAATAAGAAGAGTTAATGCTGGATAGATGGATTTTAAGATACTATGTGAGCTACATTACCAGGGACTAATAGCCATGAAGGCAGAAAGATAGAAAGCATATTCTTCCTGACTGTATTTAAGAAAATCAAATAGTCTTTTGGTAGTCAGTTTTCTTTGGTATGTTTTGTACATAATATTAGCTTTCTATATTAATGAAGTGTAAAAATGTTTTAAAAAAAGGATTCAAACAAAGAATTTTATTACCTTGCTTTGCCCTCATTTGACCTCAAAGGACTTTTAAGACTGAAAAGCCATACACAAATGTACTCACAAGAATATCTCCATATCTCATATGTAATTGATTTACACTACAGAGTTCAAAAGTAATGGATCACATTGGCTTTTGGTTCCAGACTTCTGCTGCAGCAAGGGTTTGCAGTCTGAAAAGTAATGGCTGAGTCAGGGGCCGTTACTAGGAGATTCAGTTGATGGTGTCAGCCTTAGTTTGATACTATAGAACATTAATGTATGCCATAGTTTAGACAGAAATGTAAAAATGAACCAATCCTACACCATGGTTTCACAGCATTAGTCCAAAAAAAAAAAAAAAAAGAAATCGCAGGAGGATTTGTATCACATGGGAAGAACTAGTTTACAAATTGTTAGCTCTAACAGTCTTAACATCCCAGAGCATGGAAAAGAAAGAGTGGAGCTCAGAAAAAGGGGAGAGAGGCATCAGTATGTTAAGGAAGAATCAAAAGAACTATCTCACACAATACAATGGCTAAGATAAAAAACAAATGTCTCTGTGAAGAGAACAGTCCGATCGTGCAGATCTGAAATCAAAACCTAAAACTCCATAAAAGAAAAGGGTTGTTTTGTTTCTGAAGTGCAAGTGTTCTTCAGAACCAGAGTGTTTCTCATAACTGCATACCTCATTAAAGGCAATATTGAAATTACCCAACAATTTTAGGAAATCAGACATAAATATTTTGTATTATGCTCATTTTAAAGACCTTCTCTTTAACCATATATCAAAAATTGTAAACAAAAGTAATTCAAAGATTTTAAACACGGAAGTCAGTATTATACACTGAGGGAGATTGTCCCAGTGCCATAGCTTAAATGAGGAGGTATATAGTTGCCTTTTTGTTACGAGGCCTTTTAGCATGTGTTTTATTTGTACTATGTGCAAGCAATTGGTTTGATCACTGCAAGTATTTTAGGTGTTTTCTGTGGCTGCAATTTTTGCTTCTGAAGTCTGCTTTTAGTTTCAATTCCATGAGTTAATCTTTTTATTATGAAATATGACTACATAACAGTTTAAACTTTTTGATATGTGATGACTTGCAATATTTAAAAAAAAAAAAAAGTAGTTGTCGTGGTTTTAGCTGGGACAGAGTTAGCTCTTCTTTTTAGCAGCTAGAAGAGCTCCGTGCTTTGGTTTTACTCAGAGGCTCGCTCTGAGAAGAATGCTGATAGCAAGCTGATGTTTGTAGTTGGAAGTGAAACTCCAAGGACTTCTCAGTGTGCCGGAGTGCAGAAGCACGGCGGGATAAGGGGGGAGCATAGTTGGGACAAGGGGGACACGATTCCCCTTGTGATTTGTGGTGGAACTTAAGATTGAGGGCCAAACTGGCCAATTAGTATTCCATATTATGCAGCATCATGCCCCGTATAAAAGTGAGGGTCAGCCGGACAGAAGGGCTTTTGCGCTTTGGCTCTTTCGCCGCTTTTGCTCTTTTGCGCTTGCTGCGCTTTTGCTCTATTGCCTTTTTTTTTCTCTCTCTCCCAGTACTCCCACTCTCGGAGTACTCTCTCTCTCTCTCCCCCTCTCTATTTCAGGGCCTTGCGTTCGTCCGGGATTGCAGCTTCGGGACGAGATGGGCTTCGGATAAGAGGGGGTGGTGAGCATCTACACTGTGTATTACTCATGTGTATTAAATTGTTCTTATCTCAACCCACGGGTTTCCCGTTTATCCTTTAATTCTCTCCCTCATCCCTGGGGCTGGGCGAGGGTGAGTGAGTGACTGTGTAGGGTTTGGTTGCCAGAGCGGCCTAACCCACGAGAGTAGTCTGATTTTCTGGAAGTCCAATTGCTGAATACGCCAAGGATTAATCAGAGCTACACAATGCTTCTTTTATTCAAGTTATTTTACCATACATGTGCTTTATTTTAGAGGACTGTTCTGTTGCTTTTCATCTGTTACTGGTTGGCCTGACTGGATTTCAGTCGACCTCTTCTGACACTGCCCAAGTCTGTTCACATGCCTTAACTTTGTGGGTTAGACAGATGATTCCAAAAGCACACATTACTCAGTAGGTCACTTGTGTCTATAGGAATCCTATGTGTATGTGATAGGGGAGGAAGGGATAGAGGAAAAGCGTGGAGCAGGGCTCTGAAACAGTTGGGGGTTATTACATAGGTTTAGGCAGCCCTTAGTAAACGCAGATCTCCATATAAAGAAGCTTACTGTCTTGAACAGTCTACTTAAAAACTCCACCTTTTTAAGTAGAAGAATAATCCCTATCTGCAGTGAACCCATGCTCAATCCCACTAAAGAATGCACAAGGTGAAAGTCTCAAATTCTGTAAATTACGGTAATACTAAAATACTGAGCCAGTAATACTAAAACAAACATTATTTTGACAATAATTAAGAAACTATTTTGGAATTTGAACTCAAATGATGGCTCCATTTAAGAAATGAAGTTTTCTGAAACTAATCCAGCACAGGAGCACTTTGTTTGCCCCAATATTATAAAAATTTCTTGATGGAACAAATTATATAGTAAACTGCTGTCAGTCAGCTATTCAAAAATGATGTATATATCAAATTCTCTTATCACAAAAGTTGAACTTACTTTCTTGGGTTTATAACATAAGAATTTCTACAAATTAGGCAGAACCATAGATTTGTACATAATTTTTGTATGTCCTTTAGTCTCATGAATTAGTGTTTCCATAGTAGTGACACTGAGGAAGAGGGGAGGGCACAGGCAGGGATTGTCATAATTCCGTGCTGTTGGACTTGCTTCCGAATACAATATTCCTGGATATAAATTTGTTCCTAATCTTCCAGGTTATGAAGACCTTAAAGGTTTAAGTGTGCATAGCTGCAATTATAGTTGTAGTCCACAGCCATGTCTTTTTCTCCAGCTGTTCAATGAAGTAAATTTACTAAGAGATCTGAA